ACAGCTTATCCGACGAGAACAAATACCTTCACCGTGTTTTTACGAAGAACAACTACAACAACGACTTCATCCGACGAAACACTCACCGACCCACTACCACTACCGAAACAAACGACACCGCAACCCCTACGACTACAGCAACCATACCGTACATAAAAGGCATGTCTGAAAACATCTCGCGCATCTTACTACCCTTCAATATCCGCGTCGCCCACAAACCCATCACCACACTACGTCAGTTACTAACCAACGTTAAAGACAAAGACGAACCGAGGAACAGACAGGGAACGATTTATAAGATCAATTGTTCCGACTGCCAAGCCTCCTACATCGGTGAGACTGGCAGAAACCTCACAACAAGACTGACTGAACACAGACGGGCGACGAGGAAAGGTGATGTCAGCAATCACATTGCTGAACACCATCGACTTACCAACCACAACATTGACTGGGACTCTGCGCAATGCCTAACCTACAGCACTGACTATTTTCAACGACTGACTCTGGAAAGCTGGTTTACTAACTTAGAACAGACTCCCCTAAACAGATGTCAACAACTACCCGCTCCATACAAACGACTCATTCACGACATAAACATCACAAACGACCGAAAAAGAACGACCTAACTTTACCGACAGATCGAAACAGACCAATCACGACCGACTTACGTCACTTGAGTCTTACAGCCAATAACATCACGGCAAAACCAACCGATCATTTCACACGAACTGGAATAAGAACATTCTACTGACAACAATCATTCACTTGACTCTGATGATGACTTCCGCACAGGTTGTCGAAACGTCAGTCACTACCACCGACAACAGTCCTTCTCAGGACTACACTCACCCGGACGATCAGACTACACCTTCACATGTTACCCCCGGGTTCAAACCATTTACTGCTGTTGGGTCTGTTAGCAAAGCGCATTCCAACTTCAAGATGGCTGATTATTTAAGTACCTTAGACTCGACTTTGCTTAAAAAAAGAGTTTGCGTTTAAGTTTTTGATTTGGCTCACCAGATTCGTACAGGTTATATTTCACTGATTAAAAATTCTTGTTAAGCTTATCTTGAATACTCTTCAGTACACTGACATTTAAAACAACGAGGCAGAGAAATAAAATCATGTAAAGGACGGTGGAAAGAAACTACATCCTTCGACATTAGCACACGGGGGAGCTTGAATTGAAGAAAAAAGAGTCAAGAGATCTGCGAACATTTGATGTAGGACGAAAAAAAACGAGGAAGTGAGACACAAAATCAAAAAAGGTCGAAATAGAGATTGCATTGAGCTGCTGGAAATAGCGTACAAACCAAACACGGAAGGAGCAATTAACTATCATTGTCCAGAATACGGGCGTAAAAAGGAATCATCGCTTGCGCGTTGCGCCTCCTCTCTCAGTTGAAGGTTAAAAAAGTCTATGGATGAGGTTTGTTATGTGGTGTTTACAAGCATCGTCCTCTTACCTAAGGGTCGACAAACTACACCGGCGTCGTGACTGTTCCGGCAGTAGCTTCGGTGAATTCCCAATCCTATGTGATTGCAATGTGATATTGATGTCTCATTTCCCACGCATTGTACGTCATCCAACCATACCTGACCAGTTCCTTGTTCAAATGCTGCGTTATGAAATGCAAGTAAAGCTCCATCATATCCAAGCTGGTGACAAATTACCTCAGCGTCATTTAAGTCCCATGAGTTGTCACAAATGGTTCCCCATACACCTTTGTATTGCACTTCAACAATACCAGAATGTGACGAATGGTAGGAATTAGCCAGACGGACAGCTGTTTAAGTGGAAAAAGAGGGTACAGTTAAGGAGATTCCTCAGTCTTGCACTGCGCATTCTAAATTACATATATAAAGCAAGTAATCGGGTATCGAAAACATGCAATGGACTAGGTGAAATGGTCTTCTGATCTTGAAGAAGCAGGGCGACCCATATTCTTTTATTACGTAATTTTGGTGTTTAAAAGACTTACTTTCATTTGGAGAAATAAAACAAATAACTAAATCAATAAATAAAACAAATCTGAAGGAAAGTGAAGATAGAGCTAAAAGCGTGCACGAAGCCCCTTGCTCGAGATTGCAAATTATGACCTTAAGAAACTTCGAAAGCATAGACTCAAGGAACATTTGAGTCGATTTCGTTTAAACTTACGTGTTTTTCCACAAAAATGAGGGGGATTTCGCGATATTCTTATTTGTTGCTTGGCAACTGATCTGTCAAATTTGCTGATCAAACTTTTTCCGATACGCATTACGTCGGAGGCCATTGCGGAGATCCATTTTGAAAACGGCATTCCCCCGCACATATTTTTAGGTTAGTAATCTCGCAAGCTTTGGACCAAATATCGGGGCAATCCGTATAGTTGACATACCCTATCAATTCGTTCAAAGAAAGCACGTTTGAATAAAACGAAGTGGGTTTTTTTAGCCTCCAAGTTTTCCCAACAATTCACGACTTTGGGCGACCACATGTTAAGTTATGTTAACACTCTGAAAAAACTCCAAATGCCGAACGCCAACAGAAACAATGAAGCGTCCTGTGGAGTCTCAGGAGACTTTCAGCTAAAACATGTTTTGCGGATAACCATCTAACAGTTACCCGCCACTGACCTTTATTTCAATTCTGCTGAACGACAATTTTGATTTCAAATCTTTTGTTTCAACTTGAAAGCGGCTTAAGCACGCCGTGGCAAAACTTAATGGCTGCTTATCGATTGTGAGCAGCAAAGTTTACCCAAACTACGAGCCTAAATCCGTTTCGGTGACATTCCACCACCATTCCCCGTCGAATTTCTTCACTTTTTATTTTCGCTTATGGACTCTTCTCCTTTTTAACTCTCTCTATTCGCAGAAAGATAGCAAAGACCTTTACCTTCAACAGAAATCATGAGATATTTAAGTGATTGAAGTCCAAGGACCAGGATGTTTGCCGGAAGAAACTCTTGGAGAGTCATTTGAAATATGTTATGATTGGCCATGCTTAACTGGAATTTTTTCCCATTGCACTTCTATTAAGAAAATGCCAAACGGGATTTTTTTCACAAAAAATCAAGCTATTGTTGATCCAGGAAACGTCTTGTCAATAACAAATTATCAATTACATCTATTCAATGCCTGCACTGAAGAATGGAACGTCCTTAACTTGGATGATTATCACCTAGAAGTTAGAGCAAAAGGATAAGGCGCCATAGTGGGTTTTGAAGAGCTAGTGTTTTCAGCGTGAACTCTTTAGTTATTCAAGGGTAAGAATTATTGATATGGTAGCAGGTCATGATTGCGGGTGGTTGCCTTACCAGCAGATCGGCACACCACACCAGCGTCTTCAATATGTCCACAGCTGTGAACTCCCCATCCTCTGTGATTGCACTGCGCTATCACTGTCTCATTTCCTCCACATTTTACATCATCAAGCCATATCTGGCCAGTGCCTTGTCCAAATGCTGCATCACCGAGCGCTGATAAAGCTCCATCGTATCCAAGCTGGCGACAAACTACATCAGCGTCTTGTAAGTCCCACGAATTGTCACAAATGGTTCCCCAAGTGTCATTATACCATACTTCAACACGACCAGAAGACCGTGCATTGCTGGGGCTCACCAAACGAACTGTTATCAATGTGATAATATAAATTAGCTTGATTTAAATCGTTTCGCAGAAGGAAAAATAGTTTTTCTAAACGTGAAGGATTATAGCTTTCTTCAAAATAAAAGGAAGCCTCTCACCGTGTTTTTTTAACCGTAAAGAGTCTATTAGACGAGACTAAACTGGAAGTCGAGGTTGGATCGTACATGTACCAGTCAACGTACACTTCGCAAACTCGGTTTTCAAAACTACCTTGCATGTGTGCTGTTAATTAAGCCTCGTATAGAGGGGACGGAAACGATTAGAATCCAGTCTAATCCAATCAAGGTAAGTCTCGTTTACTTATTCAATCCTATTCCGTCACCATGGGTCAAGTGAGACTTCACTGGCAACTGCGCTAAGTAAACGTATCAGCTGAGCCCCGCCCTGCTACTGATAGAATATGCTCTGATGGAGCATATTTCCAAGGTTCTAGGACGTGGAGGAAACTTTCGTGCTGGGAGGCATTTAAAAAATTTCGAGAGAAGACTCCTAAGAAAAGAAGAGGAACAACTGAGTTTGGCACCAAAGACCGACTGACGTTATTGCAGGTATTCCTGTATGAATGGTGTCTCCCACTAGAGTCGACTTAGGAATTGTTTATTTCCCTTCTATTAAACCAGTGTGTTGGCCAATTTTAAGGTCAAAGCTGTTGAGTCTGTTAGCGTAACGCATTCCAAACTTAAGATGACTGATTAGTTAAGTACCTTAGACTCGACTTTGCTTTAAAAAAGAGTTTACGTTTGAGTTTTTGATTTGGCTCACCACTTTGTACGCGTATTTCATTGATTAGAAATTTTCGCGAAGTCGACTTTAAATTCCCTTTAGTAAACTGACATGTAAAACAACGAAACAGAGAAATAAAAACAGGTAAAGAAACTGCATCGTTCGACAAATTACCTGGGAGCCTAAATTGAAGAAGAGGAAAGAGATCAGCGATGTAGGACGAAAAAAAGCGAGGGAGTGGGATACAAATCGGGTTACTGCAAATAGCGTATACACCAAACACATAGGGAGCAATTAACTATCATCATCCAGAATACGGGCGTACAAGGAATCACCTCTTACGCGTTGCGCCTCCTCGCTTAATTGAGGGAGAAATTTTTTTGAACGAGATTTGTTAGGAGGTGTTTACAAGCATCGTTCTCTTACCTAAGGGTCGACAAACTACACCGGCTCCGTGACTGCTCCGGCAGTAGCTTCGGTGAATTCCCCATCCGATATGATTGCAATGTGATATTGATGTCTCATTTCCCACACATCGCACGTCATCCAGCCATACCTGACCAGTTCCTTGTTGAAATCCTGCGTTACGAAATGCAAGTAAAGCTCCATCGTATCCAAGCTGGTGACAAATTACTTCAGCGTCATTTAAGTCCCATAAGTTATCACAAATGGTTCCCCATACACCTTTGTATTGCACTTCAACGCTACCGGAATGTGACGAATGGTAGGAATTAGCCAGACGGACAGCTGTTTAAGTGGAAAAAGAGGGTACAGTTAAGAAGACTCCTCAGTATTGCACTTTACATCCTGAATTACACATAGAAAGCAAGTAATCAGGTAATGAGAACATGCAATAGACGAGGTGCGACGGTCTTTTGATCTTGAAGAAGCAGGGTGACCCATATTGTTTTATTACGTAATTTTGGTGTTTAAAAAATTCACTTTCATTTGGAGAAATAAAATAAATAATTAAAAAAAATAAATTAACAAAACAAACCGGAAGGAAACTAAAGACAGAGCTAAAAGCGTGCACGAAGCTCTTTGTTCGGGGTTGCAAATTATGACCGTTTGAATAACTTTGAAAGCAAAGACTCAAGGAACGTTTTGAGTCGATTTCGTTTAAATTTACTTGTTTTTCCACAAATCAAAAGTAACACTGTTCTATACACTCGCAATTTTCTACCTAACGAGTATTTTTTTTTCAGTTTTACTCTAAAAGCTCTTGCTTCCAGCTACCGCAACAAGTAGTGCCAGTACAGGCACAAATGGGTTAAGGTTGGCTCATCAAACCTCTTACGCAAAAATAATATAGTACATGGGGTAATTAGACCATTTCAAACTGATCTCATAAAAATTGACACTTTCAGTGAAAATTGATCTCATCAAAAAACTGATCTCATAAAAATTGACACTTTCAGTGAAAATTGTTTTACAATCTATGTTTAAAAAATTGCAAATCGAAATTCAAAATGGTGGATTAAAAAAATTGACACTTACAGTGAAAATTTTTTCACAATCTATGTTTAAAAAGTTGGAAATCGAAAATCAAGATGGCGGATTAAAAAAATTGACACTTTCAGGGAAAGTTTTTTCACAATCTATGTTTAAAAATCTGGCTCAAACTGGTTCAAACCGGTTTTTCAAATATCTGACCAAATTTTAAATAAATCAATTTAAATAGCTTGTAAATCCTTGAGAGGAACCCAGCTGTTGAAATCATCATCATAACCCTTCCATTTAAACAGAGCTCGTTTATTCTTATAATCTCTCTTTATGACTTTATCAATTCTGAATCTTTCTAGTTTAGCTCTCAATAATTCAGGCTCGCAAAGACTTCCTCTAATTTCTTCGTAGTTCAAATCTTGTAATCGGTAGGCGATTGGATTCGTGTATTGTATTTTATCAATGGTGAATATCTCTTCTTTCCAATTTGGAGTGTAGCCTTTATCGAACAACTGTCTTTTATATTTTGATATTCAAACCTTATCACCAATTTTATATTTGGGTTTTGGTTTTGAAGTACTGATATCACCATACAGATTGAAATAAACTATTCCTTCATTCGACTTTTTGGAGGCTTCAATGGGTGTCATTTTCCTTGAATTGTGTTTGGTATTATTGTACTGACTCAGTATTTTTGGTAGAATGTTAAGATATTTGGTATTGCCTTGGATAGTAAACTGTTTCCACATCTTGTTTTTAATTGTACCAATCCAACGTTCGACAACAGATGATTTCTCTTCATTTTCAGTGGAATATAATTGGACATTATTTTTATTCAGCAATTCGTCAACGTCTTTATTGTAAAATTCTTTACCTTTGTCAGTCCATAAGAACTCTGGCTTTCTTCCTTCTTTGAAAATGGTTTTGAAAGCTTGGCTTATGGATTCACCCTTCTTATCTTTCAAAGGCTCAGTCAAACCGTATTTGCTGGATACATCAATGACCACAAGAAGATATCGATTGCCTTTGTTCCATTTACTGAACTTTTGCATTTCAACCAAATCTGCAGCCCATATTTCATCAATATGATTTACAATTATATGCCGCCAAGTAAAGTTACGCTTGATAGGTTTATGTAATTCATCCGCTAATTTTACTTGCCAGTTTTCTTCACACGACGGTTTTTTCCGTTTTTTGACTTCCTTTGTTTTACACCAAGACCTAATTTCTGTTTGGTATTGATAGCATTTCTAGCAAGCCAATGACCCCATTGACGCTCATTCCATGGTACTGCGTCTAATGCTTTAACCATTTTACGATCAGCTATATTTTTGCATTTTTTATCACCTTTACAAACACTGTAATCAACATCATGCTGCATAGCAATTGCATCAGTCTTTCCAGTGGGTTTATCATATATTTCTAATATTTCACCGGTTGTGGGATTATATTTGACTTGTTTGTTAAGATCGTTATAAGGTCCTGTGTATTTATGACCTGGAAGAGTCCAACCACTTTTTGGTTTAGGTAATTTACCGATGAGTTTATGAATATCAACAGCGCCTCCTTGGTAAAGTGGATTAGTTGGATCATGAACACCTTGTGGTGAATACATTTCCATTGGAAACCATTGCGAATAATCAATGTTTCCTCCACTTATCTTTTTACTCAGATCATTGGTGAAACTGTCAAGAGCTTGATCGAGATATTTGTTGGCTGTTTGTTTGATTTTACTCTTGGCATAATCTGATTTGATAGTTTTTGGTGGACCTTAAGCTCGAAG